CATTCATCAGATATTTACTAGAAGCCTTACGGAAGCGTGCTGATCTAAGCTGGCTGCTGGGTCTGGCTTTCCTGGGAGGGAGAGAGAGATTCAACCAATGTACTGAAATGACAATTTAGACTACTGGCAGGATGGATTTAGCCCGAGGGGGACGGCAGTGGGGTGCAACGGGGTGGGGTTAGGGAAACCTTCGGCGAAGGGGAGACTTCATGCCTAATCTGTGGACGGAGCAGCCTGAGGGGCTGGCGCCGGAGCCGGGCCAGGGTGCCAGGCACACGGAAGGGACGAGCGAAGCCGGTCGTTGGAAGCGAACTCGGAAAGCTGCCATGGCCGAGTCATTCGGGCCATGGCGGGAGGGGGCAGAGTGGTATGGAATGATAATCTATCTTTTTTACAGAAAAGTATGGGAAATACATTTTTCCTGTTGGATTTTTAAAAAAACGATGTCATTTTTATATCTAAGTCGAAAACTGGCAAACATGGAATCCAATCTGTAGTTCTGGAAACAGACGCAGGCAGCTCAGCGGCACACCGGACCCCTGGAGCTGGGGGCCCTGCACATTCTATCTGCGTCCATCCCCTGGGCAGCTCTATCTGTGACAAGTACCAAAGGGCAGGGGGCAAGCACAGGGCTCCCTCCTGACATTACCTGCCTAGGGGCGACTGTCACCCCCTGATGTGGCACTAGTGGTTGGGGAGACAATGGGAACAGCACAGCCCCGCATGACTGTCCCATCAATGGCATGTCAGTAGTGCTGTGAGCACCCCGCCAAGCGTCCTAGGCGCTTCGGTGAGACTGGCCCGTCAGTGACGAGTGGTATCTGTTCTGCTCCATTTTCTTCCCCCTTTTTCTTTCTTCTCATCCGTTCAAACCAACAACTACAAGCAGAGGCCTGTGCTTCTCGGTGGCTTGACACCAGCACTCACTCTCCCATCCGGTCACCACACCTCTTCCGTCCTCTAGCACAGAAGTATGTCCTCTCCCACGAAGCTCTTTTGTCTACGCCCCTTTCTGAAGTATCTATTCATTTCCACAAAGAGCGGTTCTCTAAGGGCCACTTACTTGCTACCTCAACCAAAAGAATTCAATTCTTAAAGTTCTTCCTTTAACTATTCTTCTTAAGGAACAATAATTTGAACGTCTCTCTCTGCAGGGCTGACTGGAAACAAGCGTCAGTGGGGTAAAAAATGACCAAATGAGGAATGTGATTGAAACAACAGGGAGAGAGAGGGGTGATCTGGGGCAGGGTGTTGGAACGGGAGGGGTTTGAAATGTCCGGACTTGCTTTCCTGTCACTTGAACATTTCTTAAAAGATTGGCGGAGATACTTTTGTCAATTGCAGGTGAGGATTTTTACCTTGACCGAGACAAGTGGGGAACAAACCATTTTGTTAAATCTTCTAAACACAGCACTTTGGGGATCAGAACAGAAACCTAAAGAAAAGTTACACATAGTAGTTGGCAAATTATTAGCATCCCTTACAGTTTTAACTCTCTTAAGTGCTAACCTGCTAGCACACTATCAGTATCTACTAATTCTGTAACGGCTGCGTTATTTCTGCTCTCTACTGACTGTTATGTCATGTCCATGTTCCCTGGTCTATAAGAATGAAACAGGGGCCCATGAGAAGCCTTCAGAAACAAGCCTCCTGGGTGTTTACTGGGAAGACACATCACACCCTCTTCAAAGAAGCAAAGGAAATGTCCTCAGATCGACCATGTTTTCCTGAATGTTCGGGCCTAAGGTGGTGGCTCTGTCTCCTGATTTCCATCCAGGGAGGTTACTGGAGGACACAATTCTTCTCCCTCAGAGCTAACCTGAAGCTTGCTTCCAGATAAAATAAAGCGACGGTAGAAAGCGGATCCATTTCCCCGGGACTTCAGAAACAAACAGAAAGCTCTACAGCATGAGGAATAGCAGCAATAGAAGAATGATGAACACTCTCTGGGTGGAAAACAGAAATGGCCAATAACTAGTGATTGACCATCTCCCTTAGCTGTCCATGGTGAACAACTGATTTCAACCGTGGCAGCTGCAGGGGTCTCACTGCCTAGTTCTTATGCTGCCATTACCAGGGCAGGGGGAGAGGGAGAGTGTCACTTTATGGTCTTAAAACGTCCCAGGGTCTTAAAAACAAAACCATTCATCACACCAACTACAAGAGGGGCCAGAGAGGACTGAGCAGATGCGCAGGCGTTATAAAGAGCCGCGGTGATGACACTAATACAGCTAGAAGCCCTCCTCCCTGGCAGCAATCTCCAAAACCCTCACAGAATCTTTTCTTCTCTTTATTTTTTTAAAAATGTTTTTAAAAGAATGTAGAACTCTAACACTCAGAGCTACTATAAAGTGAATATGCCAGTCCTTCAACTACCCTCTACAAAACACGTTGCAAAATTCTACATCGGAAGTCGTCATTAAAGCAAGGGGAGGGGGCTAAAACAGTGACTGTTAGAAAGATACAAAAGGTTAACTGAGTGGTTTTATTTTTTTGCCTATTGTGTCATCCAAAGAGCACTTTTCTTAATTTTTATTATTGTGGTAAGAACACTTAACATGAGAGCCACCCTACTAACAAAACTTTAGGCACACAATAGCATATTGTTAACTACGGCGAAGGGCGGTTCGGCACATCTTAGAGCTTGTTCACCTTGCTTCACTGAAACTTTACACCTGTTGAACGGCACCTTCCCATGTCCCCCTCCCCGCTGACCCTGGCAACCGCCATTTTATTCTCCCTTCCTGGGAGTTGGATCCTTTTCAATATCTCCCATAAGTGGAATAGTGCAATGCGTATTTCAGTTAGCATAATGAATGGAGCATATTTTTAAATAGCTAAGTGACGTCTTTAGGAACTTACCTGGCTACAAGTATAATAACATCTTAATCTAAAGACTTCTTGATTACAGACTATGTAACACAGTATCCCCTAACTACATATTACCACCCCCAAAAGACTTTCAGCAGAGAGAACATGGTCGGGCTTGGGTAAGGGTTTTATGGTGCTAGGAAAATCAAGAGATCACCTCTGCATATCATGAGCAGTTCCCTTTGGTTTTGTAGGTTCCTTCGATTTAAACTCATCCTAAAAGTCAGTAATTATAGCAGGCATAAGAACGCCATTTGCTCAAGTGTTCTGCACAGCTTTATGTTCTACCTGCCAAGACTGAACTGCCTCTAGTACATTACTCAGTTGCAAGGTGGAAGTAAAACGGAAGGATCTAGGAGTGCCTTTAAAATGAGAGGCCAGGGCCAAACAGCAGGTATAATATATGACTAGCTTTAAAGGTAGCTGAGGGCCACGGAAGCCAGCAAGATCAGATGTGCAAGGACCCTACCTACAAAGCAAACTGAAAAGCAGGTAGACGCGTCGCTTAGTGATCAGAGAAAACTATGACCTAAAACATAAGATGCCAGGAAGTCAGGAGAGGCCCTTCACAAAAGTTTGTGTCAATTCAGAAGAAATATTAACTTTAAAGTAAGAAGAGTTTGGAATAAAATGAAAAGATATTGGGAGACTTTTAATACAATATATATTTACAAATAACGCAAAAAAAAAAGACCTCTTCCATTTACCAATTAGTGTTTTAGACACTCAGAAATAAATAGTAAATAAAATAGGGGAATACAAAACAGAAACTTTAGAAGTCTAGAAGTCTGGAGATCTGGAAGTCGAACCACACGAAAAGGCCATTTTTGAGGACAACAAAAAGGTCAAATACCAGAAATTTCATACGATTCAACCAAAGAAGGGGTGGGGGTGCTCATTAATTCAGAGTCCAGAGTGCTAACCATTACACGATGGAACCATGGTGCTCATTAATTCAATGCTAAGCATTCAAACCTGAAGACTATGACATGTTAATATTCTGTGGTTTCAAAGGAGGGTTACTTCCACGGGAGAATACTACTGAAGCAGAAAAAGGAGTTTTGATATTGTTTGCCAAATGCCTGCCTCAAGCCACACAAAACCGGGGCCTGTCAGTACCCACTTAAATAAGCCTAAAAATAACAATTTCCATTTATAACCATCCCTTTCTTTGTTGTCTAACATGACATCCATCCCTAATCAAATTCTATTCCCAATAGATTTCTCCATCCCTCTGGCTGTATCCCTGAACCCAGCTATTAATGGTAAAACATGAAGCACACAGTCCTCGGTGCCCACACACACCCTACTTCTGTATCTATTACTCACCCGCCTTCTCCTCACTCCAGTCCTTCTCGACTGCTCTACTTTCTTCCCACCTTGGCACATCGACAGCCCCATCTGTCCATGTCAGGTCGCCCCCAGCCCTTTCCTTTTCACACACCAGTGATCTGATCTTTCCCGCACAGAACGAGGGGACCCCTGTGAGCCTCTGTCCCCCTGCCTTTCCCAGGCGCATGAGCTCTGCTGTTTGCAAGAATACACGCTAGACGCTGTCACGTGACGTTCCATTTCTGCCATGTCTAGATCTCAGTGGCTTTCTCACAACCAATTTCACCTACATGCCATCAGTATGCAGAACCTGCATGTTATAAATCAGGATACTTTTATAGCGGGAGCTACAAACACCTCCAACTTAGAGGGACTCATCTATACCAGGTATGTTCCATGAGGATGGATAGTTTCGCTCTGGCATACAAAGCACACTGTCTCCGTGAGTACAGTACTTCGGGGGTACTTTTAAAATACATGCAACTTGCTGGACTCGGAAAATGAACGCAGGGGTCTATATGAACTCCATCCCGTTATGCATATTTAGGGAAGTAATTTGTAACAGGAAGGGCCCCTCACTAGGCCTTCAACGTGTTTGGAGGACGGCAACTTTCAGAACAGGGCAGGCACATCTGTGACTCTCCTTCTAGGGGGCTCCATCGCTCGGCCACCTTTGATTCCAGCGGCGGGAGCACCTGCTTGGTGATGTCCCCCAACAGACCGACCAACACGATAACGTGACATTATTGCACGGTTTCGGACGACCCGGCGGCACCACCCACCCCGCGCCGACCTACCTGGAGTTGGCTATCTCCACTTTGGTTCTCGCCATGGCAGCCGCCCTCTGCGCGCTCTCGATGGCTCGGTCCACCTTCTCCCGAGTTTTTGTGTTTCTTATCGGTATGAGCTGCTTCCTGATCCCGCGGACCAGAACGTTATTTTTGTACTTTCCCTCTTCCTTGGAGCCGTCGGGGAACACGGTGCAGCCGTACCCGTGCCGCTTGTTGCTCGCCCACTCGCCTTCGTACTTCATGCCGTTGGAGCGCTCGCTGACGCCGAAGCCGTTGCGCTTGTCATTCTTCCACTCGCCCATGTAGGTCTCCGTGGTGGTGGCGTCCACGTGGTCCTCCACGGGGCAGAAGTCGCAGTCCACGTCGCCGAAGCTGAGGGTGGAGTTGGCGTCGCTGGAGCTGATCCTGCTCATGGCCGCGTCGCTGCGCACCGAGCTGCGCTTGCTGGAGATGGAAGACCTGGACTCGGACTTGCGGATCTTCATGCTTCCGAGGAGGGAGCCCCGGCGGAAGAGGCCGCCCTTCTTCTTGCCGGCCAGCTCCGCGTCGGCTTGGACGTTGAGCACGAAGCCGCCGCGGGTGCCGGCCGGGCTGTCGGCGGCGGCCGCCGCGTCGTGCAGCACGCTGCCGTTGCTCTGCTCGCTGCGCAGCGAGGCCAGCGAGGTGCGCAGGGGCGAGCGGATCACCGCGGCCATGCCGTAGGGCACGCTCTGGCGCACGCCGTAGCCGTGCCGCATGCCGCCGGCCCACTGGCCCTGGTAGGTGCCTGGCGGAGACAAAGCACAGCGTGAGTCGCCAGGGGGCGCCCGTCGCCTGCACGGGGCCGGGCCCTGCGTGCAGGCAGGCCCCGAGGCCAAGTCCCCCACCCTCCCCTGGTTCCCTGGTTCCAACTCCAAGGGATCGTGGTCACCCGCTTGGCATTGATTCCGGTCTATCTTGACCTCTTTAAGTTGCGGATTATATCGATCTACCTTGCAGTCACTTTGCATTTTAGATATTGCCACGCACAGGTTTCCCTTGGGTGGCATGCGTTTGATTGTAAAATGCTGAGCCAAAAATGCGAGCGGTTTCATATGATGTGCGAACAAGGGTTGCATGTAAAAGTTGAAACCGAAATCAAAAGTTGTGACTCATTTCAAGTCTACCTTCTCTTTCTGTTCATTCTGATATATGTATGTGTAGAAACAGGCAATAACAGCAGGGCGACATTGAAATACTTATTATACTTGTCTTATTCCTTTGATAGCATTGTATAGGATTTTTCAATAGTCCGGTTATTTTTCCTTTGCATTTAAAAATTTTTTACCTTACTACTACTTTCGAATACCGAAAGAGTGACCATTGAGAAACAACTTTTCTTCCCTGAAATTAATACATCAGAACGACCTCTTATCTTTGTTAAGTGATATAAATGTCGAACCACTATGCTATACACCTGAAACTAGTTAGTATATTGAATGTCAGCTGTAATTGAAAAAAAAATTTTAATTTAGAAAAAGTTAAAAAACAAACAAACCCCAAAATCCAATTAAGGAAGGCAGTACCACAGTAGATGATGAAATAAATTATATTCGTGAATCTTATTCTAATTTTATTAATTTAGCTGAAAAACTCTGAAAATGACTTTTGGATCTTTTGGGATAACATTCTAACAAGCTCAAAGACTTAAAATTTTAGTGATCTTAATACGACATTGGTCATCAAACAAACTGTCTTAAATTTTCTTTCTACCATGTTCACTTTCTCTTTCTTAGGGTAGGGGAAACTTTAATATTTAGGATTATTAGGTTTGGGTGAAACTTTTTGAGCTAGGAGCAATTTGACAAATGCGATACATATCCTGAATATAGTGAACCATCATGAAAAAATGGGCAATTTGTTTTAACATTGTGTATTACCAGGTGAAAAGGTTAAGATTTGTCCCACATTGGTGACAGATGTTAACTAGACTTATTGTGGTGATTATTTTGCAAGATACATAAATATCGCATCGCTATGTTGTATGCCTGAAACTAACATGTT